GCCCCCAGCCAGGCCTCTTGACAGTGGCAGCATGAAGCTGCCAGCTGCTTTGAATGGCCAGAGTTGATGGTGCAGGGTGGAAAGAAGCCCCCTTGCCTTATGGGCCCAGCCCAGTTCCCCCCAATACCATAGCTGACATAGCTGAGGGGCTGTGAGGCAAGGGGGCTCTGTTCTACCTCCCCCCGCCATCTCTAGCTCCTTCATGCAGAAAGCTTGAAAATGCAGAAAGTTCAAAGCAGCTGGCAGTTCTGTGATACCAGGCTCCTCCCCTCCCTCCCGCACTGACAACCCCAGAGCGGGGGGGTAGGCAGGGCTGGGGAAAGGGGTGGTTTGGCAACCTCTTTGGAGGCTGGCTAGGGCTGGCACAGGCATGCTACTGCACCCTCTCCCCCAACACACAAACATCTCTTGGGTTGGAAGGTGGGCCTAACTCATGGCACTTTCTGTAAAGCGCCATGAGTTAGAGCACGGCCCTAACTTCTGTAGGCACCCTTTATAAAAAGAAGTGATGGGAGCAGAATTTCACAAAGGTATTTTCCTGCTTTACAGAGATCTGGAGAAGATGTTTTCAGTGAAAGCTACAGATGCTAAATTGATAATCTTACCTTGATAATCAGCAGTGATATTGGCTGGTTTTGAACTCCCCTTTGAATTGTATGCCGTCACATGGAGAGTATGCACCTCAGCAGATACCAGGACTTTGCATTTGGTTTCTGATGTGTTACATAAGTTAAACCTTTCTCCCTGGTGCTTGTAGTACACTGTGTATCCCAGAATTCTTCCTCTGGCATCTTTTGGAACAAGAGGCTGAAAACAATGAAAGTAAATGTTCTTACAGAAGTAGGATGTGATTGCTGCTGGGGGGGATTGCTTTCTTCATTTCAATCAATCACACTCACAGAATTCCTAGGAAAATTGTTACTGAGCCACCAGAATTATTAATTGAGAAATGTCTGAAAAGTCACCTACTTAGCCTGAAGAATGTCCCTGAATAATTTCTCTGAAAGAATAGACACAGACAAATTTTTCCTTAACATTAAACAAATCTCTCCTCATCTTCAACCTCATTCTTTCCTTAAATAAACTTAATCCTGTAGAATACAGAGCACATGCAGCACACCTTCTGCTTTCTAGACCTACCCAAATACAATCTCTGTGTGCCTTATTCTCAGACACTCTAATGTCAGGTGACTTATGAAGGAAAATGGCATTACCTTTATCAAGACTGTCACTTCTCTGCTCCCATTTGCATATACTGGACCCACTAGTCTCCACACATCCACAGGTACATTAGCAGGGGCTGCATTCAAAGTACATTAATGGAATACAAGATTTTGCCAACAGTATTTGAATTAACAAAGCACAGGTATGGTTTGCTACGTGACTTTATTCAGCTTCATAATGACAACTGCCCTTTTGGGGGAGTTCTCAGGATGGTGTATCATACATAGCAGCTATGTATTTCTAATAATTAAGTACAACTGAGCAGGGTTAGTGTAATTTCTTAAAACAGCAAGGAAGAAATTACCTGGCACCAGAGACCTGTTGGCATAAAGGTTTGCCACAATGTCAAAGGAAACAACTCTTGTATTTTACTGATTACTCTGTTACTAATTTTATAATCCTTTCACAAACTAAATCTGTAGATCACTGTCTCTCCATCTGTGTGCCACAGGCTGGCAGTTACAGTGAGCCCATGCTGTCTAGATTTAGTTGGGACAAAGCCATGAATCAAGAAATTTTTGACCAAAGGCTCCTGCTATACAGTGCTCCCTACCACAGGAAACTTTGCACCCAAGCATACTTTAAATTACATAGCTCAGGTACCAGAAACAGTGTCACCATGGCAACACCAAGCTCAGGATGGGCTAACCACCTGAGTATAGGCCACAGCCATAGGCAGGTTTTACCACCTATGCAGAGCCTTATGCTGCTGCATCTACACCTATTACTGGTCCTTGAGATAATAAGTTTGGTCACCTTCACTCTTGATTTTTATGGGTGTTTGCACATGCCACGTTTTTTGCCCTTTCTTGTGCTGCAATGGCATGACTATTTGCATGTGCAGGTTTTCCAGATGCTTTAAAAGTATTTCTGGTGCATTAAACTAAAACTCCTTGGACGTAGTTTAGTTTGGCTCGCTGCAAATGAAAGCGTTGCATCCACAGATTCATTGCATGCAAACACAAAGGCACTCAAAGACATGTAATGAGCCCCTTTGTCCACTAGATGGTACTGTGACTTTTTTTGTAGTTCACCCCTTTGAATTGCTTCCGCTTTTTTTTTCTTGTGCCATATGCGAGCTTACTGCTCCCACAACTGCATAGTAGGGCATGGGATGGGGAGTCCCAGGCTGGGATAGGGGCAGCATGGGACCGTCCCACTCTCTTGAGGTGCTGGCTGAGGACCAGGCTTAATTTGTTTGAAAACCTAGTGTGAGCAAACACTGATGTGATACTCCAAAAGAAACAAGTTTAAATTTTATAAACCGATTTAATTTAATGAAGATTAAACCCTGTGATGTGTACAGGCACCATATGTTCCCACTTTCCCCCAACTCTCAATGACTGTCTTCAAGGCACAACACAAGTCCTATCTATAACTGATTGTTTGGAGTTGG